CACTACCACCGTTCTTTACCCTGTTACATACCTCTACCCACTGTCTACTAATTTAACTGCTACTACCACTGTTACTACTATACTGTCTACTAAGTCTACACTACCACCTGCTACTACTGTTACTACTACTTCCACTGCTACTACCGTTACACTACTACTGTCTACCTTCCACTTTAACTGACTGTCTAACTACACTATACTGCTGCTACTCTACTATTACTGCGACTACTCACAGTTACTACTATTACTGCTGCTACTGTTACTACTATTACTGCGACTACTGTTACTACTATTACTGCGTCTACTGTTACTACTATTACTGCTGCTACTGTTACTACTATTACTGCTGCTACTGTTACTACTATTACTGCTGCTACTGTTACTACTATTACTGCGACTACTGTTACTACTATTACTGCTGCTACTGTTACTACTATTACTGCGACTACTGTTACTACTATTACTGCGCTACTGTTATACTATTACTGCGCTACTGTTACTACTATTACTGCGCTACTGTTACTACTATTACTGCTGCTACTGTTACTACTATTACTGCTGCTACTGTTACTACTATTACTGCTGCTACTGTTACTACTATTACTGCGACTACTGTTACTACTATTACTGCTGCTACTGTTACTATTACTGCGACTACTGTTACTACTATTACTGCGACTACTGTTACTACTATTACTGCGACTACTGTTACTACTATTACTGCGACTACTGTTACTACTATTACTGCGACTACTGTTACTATTACTGCGACTACTGTTACTACTATTACTGCTGCTACTGTTACTACTATTACTGCTGCTACTGTTACTACTATTACTGCTGCTACTGTTACTATTACTGCTGCTACTGTTACTGCTATTACTGCTGCTACTGTTACTACTATTACTGCTGCTACTGTTACTACTATTACTGCTGCTACTGTTACTACTATTACTGCTGCTACTGTTACTATTACTGCGACTACTGTTACTATTACTGCGACTACTGTTACTACTATTACTGCGACTACTGTTACTATTACTGCTGCTACTGTTACTATTACTGCTGCTACTGTTACTATTACTGCAACTACTGTTACTACTATTACTGCTGCTACTGTTACTACTATTACTGCGAGTACTGTTACTACTATTACTGCGACTACTGTTACTACTATTACTGCTGCTACTGTTACTACTATTACTGCGACTACTGTTACTATTACTGCGACTACTGTTACTATTACTGCTGCTACTGTTACTATTACTGCGACTACTGTTACTACTATTACTGCGACTACTGTTACTATTACTGCTGCTACTGTTACTACTATTACTGCTACTGTATACTGTACTGCTACTGTTACTATTACTGCGACTACTGTTACTATTACTGCGACTACTGTTACTATTACTGCTGCTACTGTTACTACTATTACTGCTGCTACTGTTACTACTATTACTGCGACTACTGTTATACTATTACTGCGACTACTGTTACTACTATTACTGCGACTACTGTTACTACTATTACTGCGACTACTGTTACTATTACTGCGACTACTGTTACTGCGACTACTGTTACTACTATTACTGCTGCTACTGTTACTACTATTACTGCGACTACTGTTATACTATTACTGCGACATTACTGTTACTACTATGTACTGCGACTACTGTTACTACTATTACTGCGACTACTGTTACTACTATTACTGCGACTACTGTTACTACTATTACTGCGACTACTGTTACTACTATTACTGCTGCTACTGTTACTATTACTGCGACTACTGTTACTATTACTGCGACTACTGTTACTATATTACTGCGACTACTGTTACTACTATATATGTCTTATGCGACTACTGTTACTATATTACTGCGACTACTGTTACTATTACTGCGCTACTGTTACTATTACTGCGACTACTGTTACTACTATTACTGCGACTACTGTTACTACTATTACTGCGACTACTGTTATTACTATTTTCTATTATAACTATTACTACTTCCACTACTATTATTACTAGTACGACTACTAGTACTGTTACTAGTATTACTGTTATTACTAGTACTACTACTGTTATTACTACTACTGCTATTACTACTACTGTTACTGCTACCTCTTGACTACATTATAATACCCACAAATAACTGTCACCGAGGAGAGGAGAGATATAACTACGTTTAGGTCCCACCTACACCATTTTCAAGTCACAACCAAACGAGAAAAAACAGAGAAGACCAGAAGACAGTTCGAGAGAATGGAGGGAAAGAAGGGAGTAGTGGTGGTAGTAGTAGTGATAGTAGTGGTGATAGTAGCAATAGTAGTAAGAGGTGTGAGTTATTTGTAGTGTTCCAGTCACGCTTTTCTGACTTATTCTTTTTGTTAATATTACTGCTATCTAATTATTTAATAATCAGCATAGCGTGTGGATGGTGACAGTTATGGAGCACGTCTCACGTGCTGACGTACTGAGACGTGTGGATGGTGACAGTTGTGGAGCACGTCTCACGTGCTGACGTACTGAGACGTGTGGATGGTGACAGTTGTGGAGCACGTCTCACGTGCTGACGTACTGAGACGTGTGGATGGTGACAGATGTGGAGCACGTCTCACGTGCTGACGTACTGAGACGTGTGGATGGTGACAGATGTGGAGCACGTCTCACGTGCTGACGTACTGAGACGTGTGGATGGTGACAGTTGTGGAGCACGTCTCACGTGCTGACGTACTGAGACGTGTGGATGGTGACAGTTGTGGAGCACGTCTCACGTGCTGACGTACTGAGACGTGTGGATGGTGACAGTTGTGGAGCACGTCTCACGTGCTGACGTACTGAGACGTGTGGATGGTGACAGATGTGGAGCACGTCTCACGTGCTGACGTACTGAGACGTGTGGATGGTGACAGATGTGGAGCACGTCTCACGTGCTGACGTACTGAGACGTGTGGATGGTGACAGTTGTGGAGCACGTCTCACGTGCTGACGTACTGAGACGTGTGGATGGTGACAGTTTGTGGAGCACGTCTCACGTGCTGACGTACTGAGACGTGTGGATGGTGGCAGTGGAGCACGTCTCACGTGCTGACGTACTGAGACGTGTGGATGGTGACAGTGGAGCACGTCTCACGTGCTGACGTACTGAGACGTGTGGATGGTGACGGTTGTGGAGCACGTCTTACGTGCTGACGTACTGAGACGTGTGGATGGTGACAGTTGTGGAGCACGTCTCACGTGCTGACGTACTGAGACGTGTGGATGGTGACGGTTGTGGAGCACGTCTCACGTGCTGACGTACTGAGACGTGTGGATGGTGACAGTTGTGGAGCACGTCTCACGTGCTGACGTACTGAGACGTGTGGATGGTGACAGTTGTGGAGCACGTCTCACGTGCTGACGTACTGAGACGTGTGGATGGTGACAGTTGTGGAGCACGTCTCACGTGCTGACGTACTGAGACGTGTGGATGGTGACAGTTGTGGAGCACGTCTCACGTGCTGACGTACTGAGACGTGTGGATGGTAGCGATGTGAGCACGTATCACGTGTGACGTAACTGAGGACGTGTGGATGGTGACAGTTGTGGAGCACGTCTCAACGTGCTGACGTAACTGATCGTGTGGATGGTGACATATGGTGGACAGCCGTCTCACATATGTGACGTACTGAGACTGTGGATGGTGACAGATGTGGAGCACGTCTCACGTGCTGACGTACTGAGACGTGTGGATGGTGACAGTTGTGGAGGACGTCTCACGTGCTGACGTACTGAGACTTGCGTTGCAACCTGGAAATCAGGTCAGCTATTGAAGCATAAATCAAGGTTAAATTAACTGTGTGTACATGTTAGGTTGACAACACAGAAGCAAGTTATACCTTGAACTCCTGTAATTTTCCCCTGCACTCGCTTGCTTTATGCTAGAAACTGTATTTATGTCTCTTGTTAGGTACTAATGCCCAGATATTAGTGTAATAGTTAGGTACGCCTCGCCTCAGCCTGGGCAGGAGAGTACTTACATAGGTACACTTCACCACAATCGCTGTGGGCAGATACAAACATAGTAGCAGTTATGTACACCGCCACAGTTACTGTGGGTAGTTACATACGTAGTGATAGGTACACCTCACCACAGTCACTGTGGGTAGATACATACGTAGTGATAGGTCTCGCCACAGTCAGCCTGGGAAGGTAGGTACTCAACACCCACATGGCAGTCTTCACGTGTGGTGAACAAGTTGTGTGTAGCGTTAATGATCCTCGTGTAGTCGGTAGGCTTTAAACCCACTTAAGACAGTGTGGTAGGACTGCAAGTCTTTCCTGTCTCGTGAACACGTTAGACAAGTAAATCTTACACACACTTATGCTTATATAAACCCTTTATTGCAGGTTTTAATAGCTTCTCTTACTGTAATATTTCCTCATTTACGAGACCTGGTCGCAGGGACCATAATCACGGGAATCGTTAACAGATTTACACTATGACAATAAAGCTTGGTTTAGGAGAGGTGTTAATGTTGCAGTTTTATAACTGTAGTGAAGGTGCGCCTCTGGCAAGACAGTGATGGAGTGAATGATGATGAAAGTGTTTCTTTTACGGGTCACACTGCCTTAGTGGGAAACGGCCGATGTGTTAATAAAAAAAATTAATTACCCTTGATTGTCGTGGTAGAATCTGGGCGTGGGTGTATTAGAGCGTGGGCGTGGGTGTGGTAGAATCTGGGCGTGGGTGTGGTAGAATCTGGGCGTGGGTGTATTAGAGCGTGGGTGTGGTAGAACCTGGGCGTGGATGTATTAGAGCGTGGGTGTGGTAGAACGTGGGCGTGGGTGTATTAGAGCGTGGGCGTGACGCTGAAGGAAGCATCAATATCTTAGTGAGAACTTACGAGATTATTCCCTCCTGGAAGGCTGTTATTTGGCCAGAAAATTAACTTTGCAAGATGTACGAGTGACTTTCTAGGTGATTGACTGTAATACTTCTTTTGACGTGGTGATGGGTGAGGGAGGGAGGCGTGGGGTGACGGACGGGGGAGTGGGTTAGACAGACAGGGAGGGAGAAGTGGGTTAGACAGACAAGGAGGGAGAAGTGGGTTAGACAGGGAGGGAGGAGCGAATTAGGAATGGAGGAGTGGGTTAGGCGAGGGAGGATTAAAGTAAAGGAAAGAAGGGTAGGTTAAGGGAGTATCAGGCGAGGGAATGGCAAAGTCGAACTTTCTCCCTTCTCTTCTTTCAACCCCATCCCCTTCCCCCCCATACACACAAAAGTAGGCTTTAACACAATACGGTAGTAGGTCTCGATACACAACAGTAGATCTCAACACACAACAGTTGGTCTCAACACACAGTAGTAGGTCTCAACACAACAGTAGGTCTCAACACAACAGTAGGTCTCAACACAACAGTAGGTCTCAACACAACAGTAGGTCTCAACACAACAGTAGGTCTCAACACAACAGTAGGTCTCAACACAACAGTAGGTTTCTGGAATTAAGTCTCGAAGGTTGTCACAGCTGATGTTTGCAGATGACACAGTGCTGTTTGGAAATTTAGAAGACAAGTTGCAAAAGTTGGAGTTTGGAAGGGAATGTAAAAGAAGAAATTAAAAAGTGAACTCACGAAAAAATGAATTAAAGTTAAGGTAACTAGTTGGGAGTGAGTTTATAGGGAAGGATCATGTTGGGAGTGAGTTTATAGGGAAGGATCATGTTGGGAGTGAGTTTATAGGGAAGGATCATGTTGGGAGTGAGTTTATAGGGAAGGATCATGTTGGGAGTGAGTTTATAGGGAAGGATCATGTTGGGAGTGAGTTTAGTTGAGTTTATAGGGAAGGATCATGTTGGGAGTGAGTTTATAGGGAAGGATCATGTTGGGAGTGAGTTTATAGGGAAGGATCATGTTGGGAGTGAGTTTATAGGGAAGGATCATGTTGGGAGTGAGTTTATAGGGAAGGATCATGTTGGGAGTGAGTTTACAGGGAAGGATCATGTTGGGAGTGAGTTTACAGGGAAGGATCATGTTGGGAGTGAGTTTACAGGGAAGGATCATGTTGGGAGTGAGTTTACAGGGAAGGATCATGTTGGGAGTGAGTTTACAGGGAAGGATCATGTTGGGAGTGAGTTTACAGGGAAGGATCATGTTGGGAGTGAGTTTACAGGGAAGGATCATGTTGGGAGTGAGTTTACAGGGAAGGATCATGTTGGGAGTGAGTTTACAGGGAAGGATCATGTTGGGAGTGAGTTTACAGGGAAGGATCATGTTGGGAGTGAGTTTACAGGGAAGGATCATGTTGGGAGTGAGTTTACAGGGAAGGATCATGTTGGGAGTGAGTTTACAGGGAAGGATCATGTTAGGAGTGAGTTTACAGGGAAGGATCATGTTGGGAGTGAGTTTACAGGGAAGGATCATGTTGGGAGTGAGTTTAATACTTGAGAGTGGATGTGTCAACAAATGGGTCTTTAATGGAGTTGTCAGTCATAAAATACACGGAGGACAGCATGCGAATATATGGTTTACAAAACCGACAAGTTGATAAATGAGACACTTGTGCAACATTTGGGTATCTTTATTCTGGAAAAGTTTCGCCAATGAGTGGCTTCTTCAGTTTAATTCAGAGAAAGGTGAAAGATGAAGAGGAGTTTGAGGTAATCAGTCCTCAGTCTGGAGTCGATGTGTTCAGTCCATCGATCGATGCACTGGATTTATCACAAAGGAAAGAACATAGCATGAGTGTTGCAGTCTATGAAAAAGAAGTTTGTCGGTATACGCAAGAAAGGGTAATATATCAGAGCACAGTGGCGACAGCATCGTCATAAGTGTACATGGCATGATTCTTGAATGTTGCAACCAGGAGACGGTAGTGCCTGAGACCAACGTGTGGTGTGAATACTGTGCACAGAATGAGGAAAGAAGAAAGTGGAAAGCACTGCAGTGATAAGAGCTGTACGATTCAAATAGTGTTGAAGTTCTTAAGATTTATTACTAGTAGTTGAATCTTTTTTCCCGAAGATGCGACTCACAGAAGTCTACTAACACCCAGGCACTTACTACCAGGTGAACCGGGGAAGATGGTGTAGGGAAACTTTCTTGAAATGTCTGTGCTAGAGTCCTGCCTCTTAAACTACATCCACAGGCATAACTAGTCTCGGACTGCTTGAACCCTATCATACTCTTGAAAGTGGAGCTCACCTTCACTTCAACACCTGGTTCATTTAAGTTCCGTATCGCCCTGAGACTGGATAAGACCTTTCTAACATCTCTGTACGCATCTGTCCTTTTAAGTTTGTTTCAGTCTGTCCGTATCTGCGCCATCATTTCCTTGGGTATCATGTATGTCGTAATGATGTCTTCCCATTGTGTGAGGTGAGGTCATGAACGAGAGAGAACGTGACACCTGGTGGCCACCACTCGCTCATACATTACACTGGGATTGCCACCACATATTTCCAACGGCACCAAATGGGTTTACCTACACAACTTACTGAGGATAATTGCGACACAGACAGCCCCAGAGCTGCTTTATACATTACTGTGACACAGACAGCCCCAGAGCTGCTTTATACATTACTGTGACACAGACAGCCCCAGAGCTGCTTTATACATTACTGTGACACACAGCCCCAGCAGGTGGTATATACATTACTGTGACAGAGCCCCAGCAGGTGGTATATACATTTCTGTGACAGTGCCCCAGCAGATGGTATATACATTTCTGTGACAGCCCCAGCAGCAGGTATATACATTAGCCTGATAGATGGACGGCGCCAGTGGCGTTCATATTTACCATCACATTTCACATGTCAGCTCAATGAGTTAAATAACAAAATACAGCTGGAACTAAATGTAAACGACTGGCGTGATTTATGCAGCTGGTAAAATGCGGTAAATGTGCTAAATTATAGGTGTGTTGACGTTGTGCTGTGCTTGGGGGGGTGGTGGTAGTGGGATGGTGGAGGAAGGGACGGGATCTGTGGGACTGTGGTGAATTTTGTGTGACACGTATTATAATTACGCCTCACCTTACATCGTGGGAACACTCACACTGTGCGGCAACACTGTGAAAACGACATTGTGGGAACCCCCGCAGTGTGCGGCTACTATATTCTTTGAGAGTTGCAAGGCAGAAACAGTAACCAGCTATGTTTTCCTGTAACATTACATCACAGAGGCTGGGGTTTCATGCATGAGGTAGTCCAATCTGTCAACGTGGGGTAGGAGTCTTGGTTAGGGTGCTGAGGATATCGTCAAACATTCCACTATGCATGTATGGTATACAATACCGACAACCTTCTTGCTTGTGCTTCAGACTCTCAGCGACTACGGTGCTCTTCACCAACTCCAAGGCTGAGGGACTGATTACCTCATCTTTTGTATATAGTTCTACTATCTTCCAATTATTCCTTGAATTTGTACTGATAAAGCCACTGGTTGGCGAAACGTCAAAAATAAAAATACCCAGACGTTGCACACGTGTAATTCTTCATCCCACTATGGATTTACCAGCTACGACAAGTTTGAAAGGTTTTCTTCCAGCAGGGTTTGAGTTATTTAAGATGACCGTCTCTCAGATTGGTTGACCACACACTACAAGGTGCTGCAATTGATACTATGTTTTACCACCACCGTGGACGTACTTGTATGACGTGTTCTGACACGTGTGAAGATAAAGATAAGAGTTTCAGAAAAGGCTTTTAGCAGGAGAACGTTTCGCTCTGTTCTTTAAGTCTTGAATTGATAAAGCTCTACTTCATATTTGTTCCAGTTAAAGATTGATTTGTTCTCTCTTTCTGTCTTTTGCTATATTTTCTTTGTTTCTTACAAATAATATATTTGATATTATTATTCCTGAGTTTCTCAAGTTCTATGCAATGGTTTGCATGCTCTCTGTATTCTTTATTTTTTTTCATACTTCCCATCTCTAAGCAACTGAAATTTGTCATAGTTGATCATGTCATTCTCACTTGCTCGTTGTAAAACTTTGAAGCTGTGAGAAATGTTTTTGTCTAACATCAGAATGAGAAACAGTGGTGACAGCATCGTGCGTTCAGGCACTGAACCTTTGCTAAGGCTCGACTTTGTTTTGCTGTTACTCTTTGTGTCCTGTCTGCTAGCAGTGTTTACTGCTATTCTTTGTGTCCTGTCTGCTAGGAGTGTTTACTGCTATTCTTTGTGTCCTGTCTGCTAGGAGTGTTTACTGCTATTCTTTGTGTCCTTGTTGCTGCAGTGTTTACTGCTATTCTTTGTGTCCTGTCTGCTAGCGTGTTTACTGCTATTTCTTTGTGTCCTGTCTGCTAGGAGTATTTACTGCTATTCTTTGTGTCCTGTTACTGGAGTGTTACTGCTATTCTTGTGTCCTGTCTGCTAGGAGTGTTTACTGCTATTCTTTGTGTCCTGTCTGCTAGCAGTGTTTACTGCTATTCTTTGTGTCCTGTCTGCTAGGAGTGTTTACTGCTATTCTTTGTGTCCTGTCTGTAGAGTGTTTACTGCTATTCTTTGTTTCTTGTCTGCTAGGAGTGTTTACTGCTATTCTTTGTGTCCTGTCTGCTAGGAGTGTTTACTGCTATTCTTTGTTTCTTGTCTGCTAGCAGTTTGAATGTGTTTCCTCACTGCTCCTGTTATCCTATTAACTTCATTTTAGGGACTATCACTCCATGGTCACATTTGTCAAAGGCCTCCACAAAATCCGTGTAGACCACTGCTGCCTTTTGGTTTTCTTCTAAAGCCTTAGGGTACTAATAGTGTCAGAATGATAGTTATTACAAGCATGATTTTCCTGCACTAACTCCATGTTCACTTTAGTATGTGTCATGCTTTTCCATGTGAAACAAACAGTAAATTTGGCATCTGGGCGACCTTTCAGAGACCATCACTCGGCTGTCTTCTTTGTCATGTAGGACACCTGTTTTCCTTCCCTAATGGCAAGATTCCTGATCTTTACTTTCGTAATTTAAAAAAACACGTAAGATGACGGTCTAATCCTGCAAAATCCTATACATATTCGATTTTTTTAATAAGTAGAATAACCCATAACACTTATGGCCGAATTAATTAGCAAAAATAAAAATTACTAGCACGACAAAAAAACACAAAATAAATTCCAAATTTTAATAACCCGTATCAATTAAAAATTCCATGAAAATATCAGTGGTGTCAAAATAATTCCTTCAAAGATTGCAGCTACGTCTGGACTTGTTAAAGCCTCCGGAACTTTATTTTAGTTTAAGCTTCACTTTCAAACAACACTGGCTGCTCTTGCTAGTCGTACTTTACATTTCTTTACATACACTCGTCTCATGAACCAAGCCCAGGAGCAGTACCCTTGGAGGTCCTTTACTGCACGTATAAGTTCTGTCAAGCACCTTAACTACTGGGAACGCTTGGAAGCACTTGACTTGTACTCGTTGGAACGCAGGAGGGAGAGATATATCATAATCTACACTTGGAAAATCTTGGAAGGAATGGTCCAAATCTGCACACAGAAATCACTCCCTACGAAAGTAAAAGACTGGGCAGGCGATGCAAAATGCCGCCAATAAAAAGTAGGGGCGCCATTGGTACACTAAGGGAAAACATCATAAGTGTCCGGGGCCCAAGACTGTTCAGCAGCCTCCCCATCAAGCATTAGGGGAATTGCCAATAAGCCCCTGGCTGCCTTCAAGACCCCTGGCTGCCTTCAAGACCCCTGGCTGCCTTCAAGAGAGAGCTGGACAGATACCTAAAGTCATTGCCAGATCAGCCGGGCTGTGGCTCGTACGTTGGACTGCGTGCGGCCAGTAGTAACAGCTAGTTGATCAGACCCTGATCCATCGGGAGGCCTGGTCATGGACCGGGCCGCGGGGGCGTTGATCCCCGGAATAACCTCCAGGTGTTCCCGTTCCTTTTTTTTTTTTCGACGTCTGAACGTTTTGTGTTAATGTCACATATGTCAGAAATTATCCAAACTACGACTTCTCATAGTGTCACTGTGCCTGCATGAACGTACACAATGTGACAGATTCCACTGGTTGATTGAGTGGCACCTGCTGGATTATCAAGCGAACGTCAGGCAAACTTATGATTATCAAGCGAACGTATGATTCAAATGAATTTATGATTATCGGGCGAATGTGCGATTATCAGGCAAACGTGTGAAAGGAGGATTGGCTTTCTTTGACACCCCCGAAGGAGGACACCAGCTCCCTAGTCCGTGATATATACGAATCAGAAGCCACACGGTTCGTGATATTGACGTACGTGTATCAAGAGTCACCCTGCCAGGAACGTGAGGTAATGACTGTTTACCTACCATTTCTGGAGGAAATTGTCCTCATTAATGAGGAATACACATCTGCGTGTGTGTGCATGATAATGAGGGTGTATGTTGCGTGTGCTTGTGCTTTCTACCGGGAAGGTGTGTGTGTGTTTATTCGCGTATATGTTGTTGCAGGGGTCGA